AGCAACCGGCTTGCCCAACACCACGGAGACATCCCTGGACGTCATCGGGTTATCGCTGTTCAGTGGCCTTGGTGGAAGCACCGGTATTTCGTCCAAGACAGCCGTCGCTGCTGTAGCGCATCATTCCTCAGGCGCAGTCTTCCTCGCAGGAGCATTCGATCTTGGCACGCCTGCGGCCGGCAATATCGTAGCGTTCAAGAACGGCGCCCTGACTGCCCTGTCCAGCGGCGGACTGAACGGTCCTGTCACATCCCTTGCTCTCGTCGGCGACAGCCTCTACGTCGGTGGCACCTTCACGGATACGACCGCAAATTCCACCCAGGGGCGCTTGAACAATGTTGCGCTGTATGATGTCGCACACGACTCCTGGTCACCGCTGTTGGCGGGCGTGAATGGTCCTGTGGAGAGCCTCGACATCGACAATGGTCAGGTCGCGGTTGCGGGCAACTTTACGACGCTCCTCAATGCGCCAGGCAGCAACGCTGGCCAGGAGTCGGCCGGATTGGCGTCGTGGAACATCAGCCGCGGTGCTTGGGCCAACAACGGTGGCTTCCTGGTGGGCAGCCTGTCCTTCGTCGGAAACGGTACAGCGCCCGCAAAGGGCGAGCAGCAAGCACAGTTCATCGCAGGCAACGTCGCGAACTCGCTCAAGTTTGGCGCGAGCGGCCTCGTGCTTATCAAGAATGGGGACCACGGTCAGCCGGACGTGACCCCGCTCGGCGTGCAGCTCGACTCGGACAACGACACCACCGCTGTCCCTGCCCCTGCCGCAGCAACCAAACGCCGCCGCGCACAGCACCGCCGCGCCGCAACGACCTGGATCGCGCACCACATCAAGCTTCCGCAGCTCTTCTCGCGTCAGTCGGGCTCCGCGCTCGCCCCGCTCCCGCCATCACCGCCCGCCCCCGCACCAGCCGTGCTCGCGGGCGCGTTCTGGACGAACGTGACCAACTCGGAGCAAATCGCGCTCATCGGCGGCAACTTCACCTTCGCCGGCGGCGCCGGCATCGCGGCGTACACGCCAAGCACCGGCGCACTCGCGTCACTGCAGGGCGTAGCGCTGAACGGTACCGTGCGCGCGCTGCTCGTGCAGGGCACGCTGCTCTTCGTCGGCGGCGACTTCACTGTGCCGGGCACGAACACCGCGGGCTTTGCGATCTACGATCTGCTGCAACGTGCGTGGGTCACGGACGACGTGCAGCCGCTGCAGGGCGCGGGCGGTGCGCCGGTCGTCGTGCGCTCGCTGAGCGCGTCCGCGGCCAAGGCGAATACGGTCGTTGTCGCGGGCTCGTTTGCGCAGGCCGGCTCGCTGCAGTGCCATGCGATCTGCGCGTGGGACGTGGACCAGAAGCGGTGGAACGCGCTCGGGAGCGGGATCCAGGGCGAGGTCGCCTCGGTCGCGTATGCTGGGGTGAGTCCCCTGTATTTGGTCGTCGTATTGAGGCTGATGGAGGTGTTGGGTGCGCAGAGCAAGCAGGACGTGCTGGTGGCGGGCGGGTCGATCTCGCTCGCGGGTGCAGCGTCGGACAACGTGCTGCAGTTCTCGTTTGGCAACGCGAGCTGGGCCGCACTCGGCGACGGCGCGACGCTGCCGGGTCCCGTCACCGCGCTCACGGTCAACAACGGCAACGCGAGCAGCATCTTCGCAGCTGGCCGGTGCGTGGTTTAGTCTGGGCTGGGCTGGCGGCTGGCGGCTTGCGGTCCGGTGGACTGACGCTCTGCTTGTAGGTCGAGTGACGGCAGCTCGTCGTTCCTGGTGTTCTGGAACGGCCATGTGTGGACGTCGCAGGGTCCGGCGTTCCAGGGCGAGAGCACCGTGTCGCAGCTTGCGATGGTGCCGCTGCAGGGTGAGCACTCCGCAAACGGGATCATCGAGCGCGACCGGGTGCTGCTCGTGTCTGGCAGCCTCGACCTTCCCGCGTCCGGCAATGCGTCCTCTGTGCTGTATGACGGGCAGACGTTCACCCCGTACATCGTGTCGTCGTCGTCGACCGGCACGCCCGGGTCCGTGTCTGGGCTCTTTAACTCGCTTGCGACCTTCAGCTTTACGCAGCATCGTACGTGTCTGACCGTCTGAGCACAGACCGACGCTGACCGTGCCGCAGACTTCCTGGCGACCGGCGTCGTCATCCTGATCTCCATCGCCATCGCCGCCGGCGTCGTCTTCCTCCTTGTCCTGCTCGGCATCCTCTGGACGCTCTTCTCCCGGCGCGACGAGGCGCTGAACAAGTACGACCCGGCGGACGCGGACGACAACGACGACGACTCGGCGCAGCACCGGCCCTCGTCTCTGCTCGCGCACATCAACGAGGCGACGCGCACGACGATCCTCGGTAACCAGAGCCCGTTCAACGACGTCAGCGCGGAGAAGGAGGCCGAGGCCGCCGCCGCGGGTGCAGGCGCGGGCGCTGGCGCATCCGCGTCGGGCCACGGCGATCCGTTCTCCGGGCCCGACGCGAGCAACTACCTCCGCGCCGAGACACCGCTGGACGCGTTTGGCAGCGGGCTCGCGAGCGAGGAGGACGCGGGCCGGGCCGCGCACGCGCGCTACTCGTTCGACGGCGCGGGCGAGGGCGAGCTGCCGCTCGCCGTCGGGCAGGAGCTCGAGATCCTGGACGACCGGGACCACTCGTGCGTGTCTGCTGCGCTTCGGCTCTTCGTACTGGCGGCTGACGCGTTTCTTCGTGCAGGTGGTGGTACGCGCGTGACGTGCGCTCCGGCCACGAGGGCGTCGTCCCGGCGGCCTATGTCTACTAAGACGACCCCACCCGCTCTCTCTGCATCTCGGTCCAGGATCGGTTCTCTTATTATTCCTCGCCCTTATTTCTCCGCCCATGATATAATTATGTTTACGATGTCGATACCCCGTCCCTCGAACGCGCGTGCTATCCGTCCGGTACCATCGCCCAGCCTACAGTAGATTGTCTTCCTCGATCTTGTTTGTCGTCGTCATACTCACTTCGCACTCGGTGCGTCTGACACTCCTTTTGGCACCTGCCGTTGTTCCGCCGTTATAAGCTTGCGTTCTAGTTGTGGGGAATGAGCTGGTTCAAGTGGATTTATACAGCTGCAGTTTCCGGATCGTATGCTCTACAGGACTGACAGAACAATACAAGATAGCAGAAGTACAACATGTGGACCATGGACAGACGAGCGCAGCGGGACAGCACACGGAGACATCACTGTGAAAAGGACAGAGGTGAATTTGTGCGCAGATACAAGAGAGCAAACGGGGACGACAGTACCTGGAGCAGCGGGTCCCGATAGTGCTTCTGGTGGTTGTGCACGAACGCGACGCGCGTCTTGTAGTCCTCCCTGCGCTTCTGGTCGCGGAACTCGCGGATGTGCCGCCCTGCCTCGCGCGCCTCGCCGCGGTTGCGCGCCTTGACGACCTCCGTGCCCGCGCCGAACGCGCCAAAGCCGCCGCCCCGCGGCACGAGCGCCGCGTTCTTGTCCGCGAGTAGCCGCCGCACGATCGCGCGCCCCGAGTTGGGGTCCTCGGGCTTGCCGCTGCGCGGCGCGCCCGGGAAGGACTGCGCGTAGTAGCGCCGCATGCTGCGGTGGCCGATGCGGTTGCCCGAGGGGAGTACGAGCTCGAGGTGCGAGTCGCCAAAGGTGATCTGGTTCTCGGGCAGGCTGTCGGTGTCGGAGCTGTCGTCGGCGTCATCGTCGTCATCTTCGCCGTCCGGGGTGTCGCTCGATGCGGGCTCCTCGACGACTTCGTCTACTTCGCCGCCTTCCTCGTCCTCGTCCACATCTTCCCAGCCTTCTGCGGCCTGGGCAGTAGCCTTCTTCGCGGCCTTCTGCGCCTTGCGCTCCTCCTTTCGCTTTCGTTGTTCCTCAGCGTCGGGGTATGATGCGGAAAAGTCGTAATAGTCGGAGACCTCGAGCATGTCATTCTGGTTGTCGTAGGCAATCTTGCAGTGGCTCTTGTCTACCATGTGTTTTCGGACCGCATCGAGCGTGCGGAACTCGCGGCCTTTCCCGTTGCAGAAGATGCAGATGTTGCCCACCGCGATCTTCTCTCCGAGGTAGATGACGAGTCCGGTGGGGTCGACGAGGTACTCTGCGTCGGGGATGAAGAAAGAATGCTCGCCGGACATGTGTGTGAGGTTGTCTTCCAGGGACGACGAGACGTTCGAACAGAAGAGACAATGGGCGGGGGAAAGGCGCGAGCGAGCGGCGGCAAGCTTCTGCTCGAGAGTGAGCTCCTCGTCCTCGTCTTCATCGTCTTCTTCCTCTGCATCTCTGGCGTCTGGTGCTTTGGCTGTAGCTTGTGTCGGAGGTGCAGGCTCCGGAGCCGCCGCCGCGGGTTCTGGTGTATCTGCCCCCTGTGTCGCTTCTGCGGCATCAGCCTCAGCAGGACGCGGGTCGGTGACTCGTGAGAGTGCCTTGAGTTCGTTCTCGCGGTGCTTCTTCGAGTTCATGTGGGATCGGTATGCGTTCTCCGTTGTATAGGCTTTGCTGATGAAAGACCGAGTTCAGGACAACCGCCCCCCGATCCCACGAATCGAGATACTCACTTGCAGACTTCGCATGTCGAGCCTTTCGGAGATAGCATTACAGCAGTTTCCTGCCGCCTCTCGAGCACTTTCTGGTTGAAGACGGCAGCACTGACTGGAGGAAGCGATGCGACTCGACGCTTCATGTTATACCGGTGGTGATCCGACCGGTAGTGGTCCCCTGCACGCGGTCAGCACGGCCGCAGAGAGGAGGTCAAAGGTCTCGCACTCTGATCTTCTGCAGTAAGGAATGCAATCGTGCATGATAGGCAGGTAAAGAGGTGTTGATCCCCGGGCACAGTTGTCTGTGTGTCAGCCATGAGTGGGTTTTGGTGGGGGTGTAGATGCAAGTGTATGAGTAAGGATGAACGAGATCTAAGAGGAAAGAAATTGTGAGTCGAGTCGACGGAATCCGGAGCCGCTTTGTCACGCAGTGCATCGAGATTAGATAAGATCTCCGATCGCGGGTGGACGCAAAACTTACGAGGGCAAAAAGTCTCCTTCGAGCCGGATTCGAGCCGACGACCTTGGGATGCACTGAAGTGCCTTTTTCCATTACAGTCCCACGCTCTACCAACTGAGCTATCGAAGGCACATGTCCTCCCATCCACTCATACCCACATCGTTCCCGCGCTCAATTCCAGGGGCTGTACCAAGGCCGCACCCACCAATTGGGCATACCTTGCGCTGCGTTCACGACACAGAACCTCCATGGTATACGGCGAGCGAGAGTGTCAACTCACTCGGCGCTGCTTTAAGCTAGTGACCATTGGCATATTGATTCCCTTTCTGTCGCGTCCGGTGGGACCGCGTTGCGGTGGATGCCACTTCAGTCTGACCGGGCTGGCAACCAAGTCCCTTCGAAGTAGTTTCGTGTCACCCCTTGGTCGCGCCAACGCAGCGCATAGAGCTTGTGCCTCCGGGGCCCCCGAGTTGAAAGGTTCTGATAGTATGAAACACACACAGACAACCTACTTAAACATATACCCCATGCACCTCGCGGCTCCACACAGACAGGGCGCGTACACAGCATCACCGTTGTTTTGGGGCTTTGGGATCAGTTCACCTTTCTTACCATCCTGAGGCTTGATAACTACGTGAGCACCAGTGACGACGATCAGAGCCTCGCGCCGCGCACCTGGTCATCGACCGTATAACCGGTGTATGAGAAGCAGAGTTCTTCCCAAGGCAGCACATCACGGCACGTGAATAGGGCCAACAAAGGCTTGTCGATGTCGGCTTCGTTGACGTACACCGCAATCAGACAGCAGTTTGGGTCACAGCTATGGTTCTGGAAAGAGACGCAGGTAAGACGTGAACGACGCATGTCTTTGAAGACTACTTGCCAAAAAGCGCGTGAACTACAGCATCACTTCAGCTTTGGGAGTCTCAGCAGGAGAATACTACTCACGTTGCCAGCATGATATGCGTCAACGACATACTTGGTTTGCCAGTCGTCTTCTTCGTCTTGTTTGTCGCTCGGCTGAGTTGAATGATACTCCCTAAGCTTTTGGGGGTGCAAGTACCAAAAGTCGAGTTGAAACAGGTATGTCCGGCCGAATTTGTTGTATTTACTGGCGCAAATCAGCGGGGTGGGCGCGATTAACAGCATAGGGATACATACGTGCCCCTCACGTCGCCTTCCTCGTCAGATAGAAGTTCCCCGGCGTAGATACCAATAAATGATCCCTTTGGTATCTTCTGCCTTCCGGCGAAGATACCTAAAGAATGACGTCAGTCACTAAGCCGTCAGGTCGCGATGTGCAATGACTGACCCCATCCCTTATTGGTGGTTTTACGGATATTCACTTGGTATTGTCGGCCACGCTGTACAACCTTCAAAAGTGTGTTAGTGTTCTATCCCCGATCTCACGGGCCAACCTGGGTAGACGCACCCTGTTGCGACAGCCCTCAAAGCAGCCACACAGAGCATTGCACTCGAATACGGGGTACTCCATTGTTGTCAGTCGCCCCTTGTCGTCATAGATGAAGCCAGGGAGATGCGTGCTGTACTTTTTCTGCTTTTGCGCACAAGAACAGGCTTGAGATTCCGGATCACAGTATCCCTCGCAATCGCACCCCTCGAGGTTTTCGTAATCAGGTGGAGGCACGTCGTCGCCGTACCATATGCGATTACTGTAGTGGAATTCCCAAGCAGGTGTCATCTCCACGTCGCCGTCCACATCGTTTACGATGGATATTCGTGGGGCATTCGGTTCATCCTCGAACGTGTTCTGATAGATGAGGGCCTCGAATAGCTCTTTTGCCATGAGCGTTCGGCGATAATGGGCGTCCGAGGTATTCATGAGATCCTGTATATCGTGGGGGATGTCTCGCGCATAGTAGACCTTCGGGGCGAATTCCGACAAGAGACGCTGGGGTGTGAATTGTACGACATAAAGGCCATCGATGGTGGGATCACGGAAATTCCTTTCGGCTTCTGCAACGGATGCTCTAGTCGCGACAACACGCGAAGGTTGGGTGTCTATCTCAACGACCATATCGTTGTCCGGCCCGAGCATGTCTGCTGCATCACTTGACATTGAACGTGTATATCTTGCCTTCATTCGCCGCCGGAGCAATCGCCTTGGCGCGGACGACTGACTCGAGGGTGAGGATGTACGGGAAGGCGGCGGTTCAGACTCCTCCTTGCTGATTAACTGGTCGACTTGCTGGACGGGGCTGAGTGATCGGCGATCAGTGCATTTGCGAAGGCTCACCTCTGCATCAGAGCTGCTGTTACTGTCTAGCAGCTGGGGGCGCCTTATATCTTCCTGCTCGCCAATATCGAGTACAGCCATTGATGATTCGAGCACTCCTGTCCCGCTGGAGGATCTTGAGGGTAGGTGGGGCGACGCAGTCTGCCGAAGAGGTTCTGGGGGGTCATCCGTTCGTGTGGCAGCAGTGCTAGGAATAAGACCACTGTGGTCGGCAGGGCTGACACCTGTTGCCACCCTCACGGAGTCTGAACCATTCTCTTCGCTATACTGTGTAGTAGAGGGTGCCTCTAAAGCAGTGGCCACTGGAGGCGGGGCAGCAGCTGCAGCAATCACATCTTGAGATTGCGGAGGTGTAGACCGCGTGCCTCCATTTCTCAAGGCAAGTGCTTCACGGGCAGCCGAAAGCTGCATGTATTTACGTTTCATGTCGATGATAGAGTTGAGCACTGCGGAGTTCTTTCTTCGAACAGGAGGCGAAGGGGTGACACTTGATGCATCGTCTTCCGTAGTCAAATCGATTGTCACTGGATGCGTGTTGCTGAGAAGTGGCAGCTTTTCGCGACTTGAGATAGCGAGAGAAGATCTCGGAGTACCGGACAAGATACGAGACGGCGAGCGGAGGTCTTTAGACGGCTGTGGTCCGTGAGGCCTAGGTAAGACGTTGGGGGTATGGGGCTCGTACGTACCGCGGAAAGAAGTGGATTCTGTGACCTAGATCCAGAAGGGATAGGGTGCAATGGTTGGCCGGCATGAGTCCCACTGCTGAAGGCTTCTCCTTGTGCGGGTTCAGACATGAGGCTTCCCGCCGTTGAGTGGCCATGGACAGGAGCGCTATTGAGGATGCCCGGTGATGTACTCGCCCTAGTCTCGTAGTTTTCTGTTCGATGGCCCCTGACGAGTTCCGGTTTGCCCGTACCCCGAGCGAGAGGCTGGTTTTCCGGGGTATTGCTGTCAAGCGGAAGTGGTGGATCGTAATCTGCCGAAATACTGCTCGAAACGTGTCGTCTTGTAGTAATATTGGTATGCTCACCACGCGCATCCGAAAATGCACTATCATCTACGGCCATCGCTTCTTCATCTTGAGAATCTGGGGCATCTCGCTGTCTGGAGGTGTCTATAATTGAATCACTCCTTGGTGTACCTTTGCTGTGTGGTGGAGGTGTTGGTGAGGTGGGATTCCGGCCTATATTGGCTGACTGCGGTTCTTCCCGTTCATCAAGCCGTACATTTCCGTGAAGTCCAACATCGTGGGAAGACTCTGAACGAACAGTCGGCTGTGTTTCAACGGCTTTATACAAGTCCTTCCACAATCCTTGCCGCCCGCCATACAGAGTTCCATGACTGGGTTTCCGTGGTACACCCTTCGAGGTATTGGGCGAACTTGGTGGCAGCCGGCCGTCTAGCGGCGCACTGGCCATCAAGGACCGGTAAGCACTCTTTGACTTGAGCTTGGGACTCACTGACGATAGTGACGAAGGTTTCGGGGAGTCGTCATCACGGGGAATCACCAGTTGCTCCACAGTTGTAGTTGCGGCAACAGGTAGTATCTCGTGGCTGCGCTGGGGGATTCCAGCAGCCTCTGGAGGCGTAGATGTAGACGTTATGGGATTTCTACCGTCCTCAGGGCCCGCGTGTGCTAGCAGCGCCTTGGTAGGCTTCACCGAGTGCGAACTCTTGGGCAAGGGTGAGAGCCCTTGTGCCGGTGGACGTGAGAGTGCCGTGCGAGATAGGTCCTGTGGTCCTGCACCCTTAGCCTTCGCGACAGTATCAGTGTACTGAGAGGACAGCCTCCGAGCCACGTCTAACGGCTTCTCGTCGGGAGCCACGGATGCTGGGAGGGAGTGCTTATGGCGAAGCACGCGGGGATGTATAGGTGATGGTGAAGATGCCGCCGCACTGTTCTCTGAGCGAGAAATATTTTCAGAAGAACCCGGCCGTGTATGGACTTGTTCTGTAGAAGTGCGGGGTGCATCGTCGTCGCTATCAAGAACAATAGGGTTGTCTGCGTCGCCCAGAACCACGCCACCGTCATCCGAAGATATTTCTATTACCTCGCGTTGCTTCCCAGAACTCCGAGTTTGGGCAGCTTGAGAAGACAGGTTTCCATTACATGCATATGCACAGGATTAAAGTACTGACTCACCTCCTGGAATTGAGCTACCCGTAACGCGTCGCCTAGACGACAGTGCCATGTCGCTTTTCCTTGCTTTCCCTAGGAGTAGCGAAGGTTGGGTATGCGCACTCCGAACTGGAGGGAGGGGGGGCATACCAGATTGAGGTGTGTATTTCGTGGCATATGAAGGCCCATCTTGCCTCAGAGGAACTTTCTTCCTGGGTCTCACAGAACCGTACAAAGCAGAGCCCGCATGCGGTTCCGCTCCACTGTGTCTATGCGAGTGAGGCGGTGTGGCAGCAGGTCTTCCAGGATGGCGGGTCGTTTCCGTGCGAGAGGACTTGGAGGGCCTCGGCGGCCCGTCAGGTGGCAGGCCAGCTTTGCGCTTCGGGACTGAGTTCGAAGGCCCTGTAGGATCATCGCTCTCCATGTCGGAGGTATTGCCGTTACTTGAAGGGGACGATGATCGCGGTGCTGAAGGGAAGTCAGCAAGAAGCCGAACCGATACGAATTGACCCGACCAGACAAGGTTGCCCACGCTGGGGCTGTCGACGACCCACGGCGCGCACTCATTCGACGCGGCCGCCAACTGCGACTGAGGAGTCAAGGTTGCGTGAACAGCGGACAAGCGATGGGTGCAATCACTCAGGCAATGTCGAATGGATTCAACCAGTGCCGGGTTCGCATCGCGCGACCGTGTCCTTCCACAAACGCGTATTACATAATCACACAAGGGAGAAAGAACCAGTGTATATTTTA